ATATTTCCTCCTTATAAGTTGGTTTTATCAGGCATTTTATCACAGTTACAGAGAACTAACTAATAACCAAGGGACACTACTTTAACCAGGAGATCAAGGTAAACATCACCATTAGCTAAATCCACATGGTGAGGGACATTCTACAAAGCAACTGTCTAAAGTGTCAAGGTAAAGATCAAGGGGAGCTGGTGTGTGGCTCAGTGGTAGAGCACTTGCCTAGCACGTGTGAGGCACTGGGTTCGATTTATTTAAAGATAAATAAATAAAATAAAAGATATTGTGACTATCTACAACTAAAAAATAATAATAATAAAATAAAAAATAATAATAAAAGGAAAAGCTCGAGGAACTGTCACATATTAGGAGAAACCAAGGAGACACAATGACTAAATGCAATGTGGATTTTGATTTCTGGAACAGACAAGGGACTTTAGTAAAAAAAAACAATTTATTGATTTTAATTTCCTGATCTTGGAAAATGCATCATAGTAGCTATCAACATTATAGAAAGCTGGGTAAGATAATAGCTCTCTGTACCATTTTTGCAAGTTTTCCTTAAGTTTAACATTTTCCCAAAATAAAAGAGTTTTGAAAATTAACAGTGCGTTGGTCCTGCCCTGTGAGTTAAGAAGAGCTCATATTTTAAATCATTCTTTTATGCCATGCATCTTCTCCCTTTTGCTCTTGACCCCTCACAACCCTATGTGTAATGAACACTGAAGCTGGTCTTTGCATGTGGGAAAATTGAAGTTTGGAATTAAGAGGGCCACATGATTAGTAAGGGCAGGATTGGGGTTCAATCAGCCAGCCTCCAAAGCTGAAAGGCATGTGCCGGATGTGGATGGGCTGGGGGTGGGGTGGGTTCTGATCAGTTGGCAGCTAGCTACTGGCTGAAGCTTGGCTGTGATTGGCTGAAACTTGGCTGCTGTGATTGGCTGAAGTTTGTCTGCAGTGATTGGCTGGAGCTTGGCTGTGATTGGTGGAAGTTTGGCAGCTGTGATTGGCTGAGATCCACTTAGTTGCTAGAAGAACTTGCTCTTCCCTCAGTTGCTGTTTGTTTACATAATAGCTGTTTGCAATGTAGGGATTTGAATCATGGAGGCAACTTTTGGCCAAATTGAACTTAACATGAATGACAACAAGGAAGGAGTCCTTAAGAACCTTTGTTATGAAAAGCTGCCTGATATGCTACAGTTGGCATCCTGTCCCTGGAGTTTAGGTTTCCTGATGGAAAAACAAGTCCCAGAAAAATGTCAGAATGGATGAGTTAACGGTAGGAGCTCTACCTAGCCTCCTGGCTTTGTGTGTAAAGCACCTGGCCGGCAGACTGATGCTGTTTCCTGGAGCATTTGGTGACTAGTGGTGCCAAAGGCCTGTGACTCCTCAGAGTCTCTGGGTCTAGTGAACACATGCAGACTTCCCCATGGAGCCTCAGGGTGAGGGCTGTTTTGTCCCTTAGTTCCTGTCACATGATTCTGGTATAAGGAGGTCTCCTCTGCTGTAGGTGGTAGGAGTTAGTTACTTGGAACTCTGGGGCACACTTGTGAATGTTGGGGTGTGAATGTTCTACCGCAGGGTCTGGTAGGATGGGTGGAAGACAGGAGCCTTTTCCCCATGTTTTGAGGGGTCAGGTCATGGGGTGGCCATCTGGTCATTTCAGGCTACTTCTGGGGGCTACAATGTGCTTGGAGGTGGGATGCAGTTGCCCTCTTGCCTGGTACTAATTACCAGGCAGCTGAAGGTGATGGAGACTAGGGTGTGTGTGTTTGTGTGTGTGTGTGTGGACTGGCTGGAGTGGAGTGGGAAGAGGTATTTGTAAGGAAGTGTGTTCTCTTGGCAAGAGGAGAGAGTGGTGGCTACTGGTTCTGGGTAAGGAGGGTGACAAATGCTGAGGGAATCCAGTATTATCAACGGGTTCCCCTGTTCGAGTCTGGTCTCCATCCCCTGAGCTTCAGTGAAAAGAGGAGTTTGGGCCTTTGTGGCTGACCTGGCCTTAGATGTCCTCAGCCAAGAGTCGGTATACCAAGAACTGGCACCATAAGTCTGCACTACTATAGGCCAGGGCTGAACACCAGGCCTTGAGGGCTCTCTGGAGCCTTTTGCTGTTGTAGGGACAAACAAGGCAAGGCACTGAAGATAGCAGGAAGCAGTTTTATTTGGCTGCAGCCAGGTTCAGAGGGCACAGCTTTTGCTGTAATCAATTAATCCCCTGAACCCCGTGTTCAGGGAGTTTCAGAGCTTTATACCCAGCCTGTAAGGGGAGGGGCTCAGAAGTTCACAGTCTGCAGAAGTTCACATAAAAGCAGCCTTTTCTTTCACTGTTCTGGGCAAGTTAACCTTTCAAGGACAACATCTGAGAAAAGGAGAGCTTCTTCTCCCCTTTCTTTCCTCCCCCTGCGGCTGTTACCAGGAGACCAATTGGCAACTTCTCTTATCTTAAAAATGTAGACATCTCTGTGAAGCCCAGCTCAAGGCCAGTGGCCTTGTTTGCCCATTTCTACAAACTACTATACTGGATATGTTTGTGGAAAACTAGGAAAGGGGTGTCCAGCACCTGGAGCACTGGTATCTTCCGGGTCAGTGGCCAAGTAAAACAGGGCGACATGAAAATAGGAAGTTCATCTACATTGAACTCTTTTGCAGAGACTCTTTTGCTGACAGTCCTAAAAATAGCCATGGTGAAGAATTCTGAAGAGTCCCAGTTAAGACTTTTCTGTGGAGAAAGGGGGTGCCACTTCAATGCTCAGATATGCACAATGGGCAGATATGCCCACTATGGAATCTGCTAGCCCCTCCATGCACCACCTGCTGGTCCCAACAGAGTTCTTGACGAGTGGCCATACTCCTGGTGATGCCAGGGCCCCAGTTCTCATCTTCTCACCTTTTCCTGCCACTTACACCAGCAACCAGAAGCCAGCCCCACGTCTGTGCGGCGATTCAAAAGGAAAAAAGCAGCTCTGGGCATCTGGCACCCAGTATATACAGTAGAAGTTTTCAATAGGTCCCCTAAGCAGGGTTTCCGAAATCCAGGTGGATCCAGCCACATTGGGCTTGTACAGGGTTGTGAAGCCTTTAGCATCCAGGTCCTGGGCTGTTCCTGTTCTTTGGGAAGGCCCTTGTGGTCCTCAGTGAAGCCCAGTTAAGGGCCTGACTGTCCCACCAGCCATTTATCCTACCCACACTACCCCTGCAGACAGCAATTCTTCCTTTGTGCAGAAAGACCTGATGCAAGACAGGATGCAAACACACGTGGTTTTAAAAAGAAGACAACTAGCCTGGTGCAGTGGCACAGGCCTGTAATCCCAGGAGGACCACAAGTTCAAGGCCAGCCTGGTCATCTTAAGGAGCCCCTGTTTTAAAATAAAAAATAAAAAGTGCTTGGAATGTGGCTCAGTAGCAGGGGGCTCTTGGGTTCAATCCCCAGTATGGCAAAAACAAAACCCAAAACAACTTTTTCTGATAACCAGATTCAAGTGAACACTTCAACTCCCCCCCATTCCCTGCCAGCCACCTGGTATTATGGCACTTAGGCTGTACCTGGAAAACAGAGTTGCCCTGGGAATGGCTCTTGGCCGAAGGGATCCTGGACATGGCAACCAGGTCTCCTGAAAGGGCCAGGCAAGTCCTGAGGCAATTATCTGTGTGTGTGGTGGATTTATAATTACATACACACACATACACACACATATATATATATATAGCTTATGCATAGAAAAATGAGTGGAAACAGCTGGGTCAAATAGTGGTTCCATCCCCAGTTTTCCAAGGAATCTCCATACTGCTTTCCATATTGGCTGCACCAGTTTGGAAAGTCCCACCAGCAATGTATGAGTGTACCTTTTCCACAAAGGACTTTAAAACAGCATTCTACAGGGACACAGCCGCATCAATGTTTATAGCAGCACAATTCACAATAGCTAAACTGTGGAACCAACCTAGATGCCCCTCAGTAGATGAATGGATTAAAAAAATGTGGCATATATACACAATGGAATATTACTCAGCAACAAAAGAGAGCAAAACCTTAGCATTTGCAGGTAAATGGATGGCATTGAGAAAATAATGCTAAGTGAAGTTAGTCAATCCCAAAAAACAAAGGCCGAATGTTTTCTTTGATATAAGTTGACTGACTCATAGTGGGATAGGGAGTGGGAGCATGGGAGGAATATACTAACTCTAGATAGGGCAGAGGGTTGGGAGCAGGAGGGAGGGTGCAGGAGGTTAGCAATGATGGTGGAATGTGATGGACATCATTATCCAAAGTACTTGTATGAAGACACAAATTGGTGTCAACATACTTTATATACAACCAGAGATATGAAAAATTGTGCTCTATATGTATAATGAAAATTGTAATGCATTCTGCTGTCATTTATTTAAAAAATCAATAAAAATAAACAAATAAAGAAAGAAAATGAGTGGAAGTCATACACTCAAATATATTTGGATAATTATGTGTTATTACAACACAACTCAAATATCGCCAGCCTCACTGGTCATGTTTACAAACACTATTGAAAGGCCAGGCTCAGGGGCACAGTGCCTGCCTACTTATTTGGTGCCACAAGGGAAAGAAAGTCCTATTCTTACCAACCTATGTCAGCTGGGATTCTGGGCCCCTTTGCAACAATCTCTTGTCCCAGGGAGTCCCCAGAGGGATGTTTTCCTATTGTTCCCGTACCAGTCTGCAAGCTCTAGTCATCTCAAAGTGACCCCTCCAGGTCCATTCTCCCCTTGCCATTGGGGGACTAGAGTCCATGCCTCCTGGGACTGGCTCCCGAAGCCAAAGTCAGCAACGCTGAATCTGTACAGAGGTGGGAGAGCAGCCTTCTTCCCAAATCTATCCTGTCTCTGGCTCCTGCCCCCACCCCTCCAAAAGACTCCCTCAAAATGTTGTCAGCCCCTGGCTCTTGGTCCCTTGGCACCGGGGCTCACCTCTTGCTCAAGAAGGCTCTGTTCCAACATTCCAGCACTAAATCTTGCACCAAGAAGCTTCGAAATTGCCATGATACTAATAACATTTTATTTTTAGAAAGAAAAATTATAATTTAAACATATATACATCTACATGTCAATTTTTTTTCTCTGTAGGAACTTCCCCAAATGGTCAGACCATAAGTGGACACAAAGGACCACAGTGATCTGCAGAGAGCAAACAAGAGGAACTGACCTCCTGGTGATTTTATTCTAGAATCAGGTATGCATTGAGAGCTTTGGCCTGCAGATTCTTCATCTCCTCAAGGACCTTTTCTCCTGCCTTCTCTGCTGCTTGTGCCTGGTCTTTCACCTCTCTGGATATCAGAAAGCACAATAAGGGCATGTTAGGCACTTTGTAAAACATGCAAATCACCTACCAATGCCAGTGAAGGTTGACGTTTTTGTTTTAACACATAAAGATTTTAAGTCATATTTGGCGATAATTTACTAGCCAGTGAGAACCTTCAGTTTGCAGGTGATTCAGGCTTGGCTTCCAGTCTCAGCTGCATCAGTTTCCTAGCATGGCACCTGCCTAGGTGTCCAGTCTCCACCTCCCCAAGATGGTAATTCCTATGTTTCCAAGCATTGTTATAAAGGTAAAATGAAAAATTATTCAGAGATCCTAGTATGATATCTTCTAAATCCACAGTCAGCATTAGTGTTTTTTTTTATTCATCTTAATGAATAAAGTAGAGAAATAATGTTTCTGACTCTGATAACGGCTGTAGAAAGGTAGGTTATGACCGGGTGTGGTGGTCCACACTTTTAATTTCAGTGGCTTGAGAGGCCGAGGCAGGAGGATTGCAAGTTCAAAGCCATCCTCAGTGAGGCCCTAAGCAACTTAGTGAGACCCTGTCTCAAAATAAAAAAAAAAAAATGCTAAAAAGGGCTGGGGATGTGACTCAGTAAAGAAAGAAGAAAGGTGGATATGCACCTGATGAGGTGGTTCAGGTGCTCAAGGTGTGCTAGAGGTTGATGGGGGTTTGGCCAAGGGTTGTTGGGTAGAACTTGAACCCAATGTGAGATAAAAAGAGGCTGTCAGTTAAGGGGTATCATAGGGTCTGAGACAAAGGGCTGAGAAATGGGGAGTATCTAGGTTTCCTAGGGGCCGCCTTGCTTCTTGGGGGGGCTGGGCCACAGGTGAAGGTTTAGCTGGACATGCAGTGGAAAGGCTGTTGTGGAGTGTCCCACCATTCAGATACGTGGGAGGACATGCTGAGTGTATTGGTTGAAAGAACAGGTATCCCTCTAAAGATTGTGAACTCAGCTATATGATCTGCCTGGGAAATGGGGGTACCCCATATAAAATTAAATGATTCTGAGACATTGTCTAGAGAGAGCAATGTGTCATGCTCTGGCAAATGCCTTATACTTTTGGAGAACTAGAAATCTCTAAAACTGGAGAACTGAAATGTTCCCTAATGCACACAATTAAAGAAAAGAATTTGGCACCATTTTAAGGAATCATGTCTAAAATGTAGAGATCATGACTCCTTTAAAAGATATTAATGATTGAGTAACATTGTGATGATCTTAGCAGTGTTGAATGATGTGTCAGCAACTAAAGTCACTTGCTCAGTTTCCGGGACAGTATTCAATGATTCTCCTTAATGGGTCTTGAGGGGAAAAAAGACAATTTTCCAGTGAAAATGTCCATCTGTTCAGGTAATTCCAGCCGTCAAGGGAGAACAGGTGATTCTTCCATGAAAATAAATATGAAAGCAGCACATTGTTTATTCTGTTTTAGTTTTGCTTTTTTTTTTTTTTCAGTGCTGGGGATTGAACCTAGGGCCTGGTACATGTTAGACAAGTGCTCAGCCACTGAGCTGCACCCCTGATCCTGCAGAGCAGTTTTGATGGGAAAATTAAACATCATTTATGTGTTCTTTTTGTTGTGTCCCATCTGTCTAAGCTCTGGTTGATTGAGGCTGGAGGAGGTGAGGGAGATGTATAGGGCAAGATAGAGTAGACAAAATCAAGCACAGAATAATGCTTGATATGAGTTAAAAAGAACTTCAGGACCAAAAAATCTTTGGAAAATAGTCTATGGGATATCATCCTATTAGACTACTATACAGCCAATAAAATGACAACCATGTTGACAATTTTGACATGCACATAAATAATTTTAACTGCAAAAGAGGTGAATTCAAAGTACATTTGGGAATGTTTACTGAAAATGTGTAAAAATGCACATATATAAATATTTTAATGAAAATTAAAAGCGAATTTGATGAACAAGAAAATGTTCAGAGTTTATTTTGGGGTTACTTTTTTGCAAAGTAGCCAAAATAAAAACAAAAGAAAAAATGATACAGTATTTTGGTTTAACAATAAAGTAATAACTCCTACTTCATTTACTCATTTTTATAATCAATTGATATTAAAGTATAAAGGGTGAAAAACCACATTAAAGAGCAATATAAAAGTATTGACTATTACCTAGGCCATGGACAAAGTTATTCTACATTGGGTACTTTTTGAAATAGAAGAAAAGTTTTTTTTTTATTAAAAACCTTTAGTTGGGCTGGGGTGGTGGCTCAGTGGTAGAATCTTTGCCTAGTATGAGTGAGGCACTGGGTTCGATTCTCAGCACCTCATATAAATAAAAAAAATAAATAGCGGTCTATTGAAAATTAAAAAAATATTTAACAACAACAACAACAAAAAAAACCTTTAGTCACCTACTTGAAACAAAATGCAAAGTGCCTCTCTTTGTTCAGGTACAAGAGCTTTTTTTTTCTTGTGTGTGTGTGTGTATGTGTGTGCAGTGTAGTATATTATGATATTATTTTATTGAGTTAATTAACTGACCAAAATAGATGCTCACTGTTAGAAATTTTATTTCTTAAATTTTCTTTTACTACAAACTGCCCATCTATTTTCTGAGAAATGCTGGTTGTTGTGGTGTCTGAAACTATCACAAACAAGCCAGAGAAACCCCAGAGAATACTGCTCTGAGACATATGAGCATGTCTTTTGGAAAACCCAGAGTTTCTAAAACACCCTAAATAAAGTTAGAAGACAAACTAAGGAAACAAAATTGCAGCTCATGTAAGAAAGAGTAATTGTCCTTAATATGTGGGGGAATATTACAAAGAAACACAGGCAAAATGGGCAAAATAAGCTTGTCATAAACAAGAATAATTGATTAAAAAATAGTTGATAAGCATAAAAAACTTTAAAACAAAGAAATTAAAATTAAAACAATGAGATGGACATTTTTTTTTATGGTGCTGGAGATTAAAGAGATGGCCTTTTTATTAAATTTAAAATTTAAGCCAGGTGTGGTGGTAGTGCATGCCTGTAATCCCAGTGGCTCATGAGGCTAAGGCAGGAGGATCAAAAATTCAAAGCCAGCCTCAGCAATAGCGAGGCTCTAAGCAACTCAGTGAGACACTGTTTCTAAATGAAATACAAAATAGGGCTCAGTGGTTGAGTGCCCCTGAGCCCAATCCTTAGTACTAGCCTCCCATCCCCCCAAAAAAGAAAAAAAATTTAAATTAAAAAAATCTATCACATTGATAAAGATGAAAAATAAAAAACAAAACAAAAACCACTGTCATATCAACAGAACCCCAAACAAACCAATCCCCCACCCTTCCCCCAAAAGATCCTATTCCATGTTGTCCAGGGCTCTTGGATGCAGGCAGTCCTGACCTCTGCTGGTAGGAGGTATGGATGGCAACTAAGTAATCTATATTTAAAACCTTAGAATGTACCTTGATCTAGCATTTATGTTTCTAGGAATTTATCTGAAAGAAAAAAAGTCTGATAAGTTTTCAAGGAATTATGACACCAGGGTATTTGTTGCAGCTCTACTGACAACAGCAAAACATTGAAAAGAGTTTTCATATTCATTAGTAGAGTTAGTAAAATAAATTATAGTACATCGACTCAATGAAATATAATGCTGCCTATCTATATTTATAAATATGTTTATATATATTGTAAAATAAAAGTACATAAGGAAAAATTATATAATATTATTTAATTTTATTAAAACTGTATATATATAATATATTATTAATATTATAATATATTATTAATATATAATATATTTGGAAGTCCATAAATCAAATTATGCAAGTTATTACTTCTGGGTGGTAGAATTATAGTTATTATATTTTTTGTATTATCTGGTTTTGGGATTATGTGGAAACATATGTTTAAACATATGTTTAAAACATAAGAGAGTTTTAAAAAAAGGATATGTGGAATTTCAAACTTATAAACCCCTATGAATTCGAGGTGATTATTTACAATTACAAAAATATTTTTCCAAACCAGTGTTTAAAAGGAGGATTTTAGTTTACCTGGTCCACTGATAGAGAAGTGAAAAAAAGAATGTTTTTCACATTTGGCATCTCAATCGATCCTCACAACCGCCCTGTGCAAGGGATTGTGGTTTTTTTTTTGCATGTTACAGATGAGGAAACTGAGGCCCAGAGAAGATAAGTGGCTGGGCTTGAAATCTCCTATGTCATAAATGATAGAGCTGTGATTCAGCTTCAGGTCTGGTCTGTCCTAGAGCACACTCCCTTATATTCAACGAAACTCCATCAGCTGTTAATAATGAACAAATGTGTCTCTGAAGCCAAATGACAAGCAAATGACACTGGATTCAATTTCTAAAGTTTCACTTGCTTCACCAAATTCAAGAGGCTAATGGTGCATAAAATAAAATAGACATTCAAGTATAGGAAACAACGGAAATGTGTTTCTTTCAAAGCTTGAGATATTCAGAGTTAGATAACATGAGAGTTTTGATCTCAGACTACCTCTTGGATCAAAGGCCCCAGAACCACCACTTACTTCTTCTTTGCGTCCTTAATGTCCAACAGAGGGAATTCCGCTTCAATCATTCTTGGAGTCAATGTAACTTCTATATTATGTTCAAAGAGCTTGCTGAAAAGCAATAAGATGTTTATGGGAACTGATTTTCCTTCCTAACATAAAATAGAATGAACTGTTGTATTCATGGAGGAGTTCGGCATTACTTGTTCTTTCAACATTAGTCCTAAACATCTACTTTTGATGAGTCTATGTTTGGCGAAGCATAAAGCTGCTAAATTGCTTTCTGCCAACAAACAATGGTAGGGAAGAGTTATTTATAACCAGAGAATAAAAAGCAATTTTTAGAAATGGGGTCACAGGTTTCATATTCTTTCCAAGTGCACATGGACCATTTACCAGAATGGACTGTATCTTAGACCATAAAGAAAGCCTAAATAACTTCAAAGAGTTGATTCATTCAGGGCTGGGGTTGTAGCTCAGTGGTAGAGTGCTTGCCTAGCGTGTGTGAGGCACTGAGATCAATAATCAGTACTGCATATAAATAAGTAAATAAAAAATAAAGGCCCATTAACAACAACAACAACAAAAAAATAAAAATAAAAACAAACAAAACGAGTGAAATCATTCAGACTATTTTCTTTGACCACAATGGAATTAGAATAGAAATCAATCATAAAGGATAACTGTAAAATTCACAATTGCTTTAAAATTAAATGATATATTTCTTCTTTTTGTTCCTTTAAAAAATTCATTGGTGAATTATAATTATGCATTATATGGGATTCATTATGCCATGTTTGCATGCCCATGACATAATTTGATCAGCCTCTTTTCTCAGCACCTTCCCTTCCCCTCCCTTCTTTTCTCCACCTGATCCACTTGCTCTGCTCAACTGGTCTCTCTTCTGTTGTTGTTGTTATTATTATTTCAGTTACTGCATTATAATTATATATATAAGCAGGATTCATTGTGGCATTTTCACCCACAGACATAATATATTTGGTAGATTTTAAATAGTCCATGGGGAAAGAAATTCAAGGAATCTAGTTTAATCTTCTAGAACCTTCCCTAGAGTGGCACATTTTTTCTATAAAGACTTTGCAGGTCACATTGTCTCAGTTATAACTACTTAACTCTGCTATTGCAACACGAAAGGAATCATAAATAGTAACTGAATGGGTGTGGCTGTTTTGGTAAAACTTGATAAGCACAGGTGTCAGGCAGATTTGGCCATGAATTATCGTTTGCCAAACTGTGGCCTAGAGCTATGTGGTTTGATGGTTAAAGCTGGATTATTTGCCGTTTGAATTTCAGCTGGAAAAAGTGGGAAGGAAGAGTGTGGAGGAGAAACACTTTGTCCAAGTTTCTTACCTCATCTGCCAATATCCCATCGGCAAAGACCTCATCAAATGTAGTACTTAACTGCTGGGGAGGCCAAGGAACTTAGCCTCAAGATTCAACATCTCTGTGACTTCAGAAGAAAAAAGCAATGAATGGACAAAGAACCTTTTCCACCACATTCAGTTAAAGCGAAATGCTTCAAAGATGAACAAAGACTTCAAAGTTTGGGGTTACGAACAGCACCCTTCACCAGCAGTGATACAGAAGCACAGGTAATCAGGGAAGTTTTCTGTTAAGGAGAATACCCTAGAAAACTGAAAAAAAAAAAAAAAAAAAAAGTCCTAGCTCACATTGCTAAAAGCTAATGTTTACTGAGCAGCTGCTATACGTGAATCACTATGTTTGTGCTTGGCAGGCATTATCTTCCCAGAGCAGTTTCCTCATCTCTAAGGTGGGCATAATAATAAGACCTCGTCATGGGGAATTCATGAGACTCCTCTCCAAGCACTGCCTGTTAGAGATTTTGTGCTCAGTAAATGCCAGTTATTTTAATTACTATTCTCCTCAAAACAGCATCAATTATCTCCTGTAATTCTGATAACCCCCTATGAAGTACTATTATTATTTCCATCTTAAAGATGAGGAAACTGAATCACAATAGTGTGCACATCAGAGCTGGATGGAGAAAGGCTGCCTGTCCTTTAGCCTGCTGATGTCTCCCTAGCGGGCTGGACAGTCAGGATTGTTCTTCTGAACCCGAACCAAGCTCATACCATCATCCTACCTTAGCTGTGGTGCTCTCTAGGAATGTCCCCATGTGGGGCTTTGTTTAGAAGCCACTTCAACCTTCCTTTTTAGATCAGGATTCCAGGCTTAGATGCTCAAGTACTGCCTGGAGCATGTGGGCAGGTCTTAGAAGAACAGGAAATATGCCTCGGCTATTTAGAATTTCACTAATTGATTATTTATGTATAAAACTGAACTGAAACGGTATGCCACAAGTAGTTATTTTTTGAGTACATACTGTGTGAAGGACACTATTGCCTAGCAAGTACCAAACCATTTCCTGTGATCACAGAACAGGCTGGCAGTGGCCGGGACCCTAATCTAACCACGACAGTGATGAATGGTTATCAACCCTTGAGTTATCAGGATTTCTTTGCTTCATCATAAGTGGTAATATAGTTTAGAATATGAGAGTTTGAATTTATTAAGAATGAAACCATTTCTCATGAAAATAGAAGGGAGAGCAGTAGAGTAGAAGAAAGAACCAGAGGGAGGTGGGTGGGAGAGAAAGGGGGAATAATGGAGATCTAGGTTGACCAAATTATATTGTTATACTGGGGGCATGGACAAATATGTAATGATTAACTCCATTATTATGTATTATTATAATGCACCAATACAATATGGAAAAACATAATTATCTCTGAAAAAAAGACTGAAAACATTTAAAAAATATTTTATTTTTAGTTGTAGATTGACATAATAACTTTATTTATTTATTTATTTGGTGCTGAGGATTGAACCCAGTGCCTCACACGTGCTAGGCAAGCGCTCTACCACTGAGCCACAATCCCAGCCCTGAAAACATTTTTGAATAATGAAGCTAAGCAGTGAAAATCGAAAGGGTGCTTATAGGAAGGTAGGTCCCCCGCAGCCTTGGATGATCCAGATCTTTCCTGTCCTGCTTGCAAGGTTTGGGCCATAATCCCAGATGTTGAAATCCTAAAGGTCAAAATCCTCAAAGTCTAAAATCCCAAAGATCAAAATATCAAAAATATAATTTTGCAAAAAAATTTAAATATTCTTTTAAAGATACTATTTGAAAAACATACAATATGACAAAATACTTCATAGACCACTTTACATTATAAAATGGGCAATAATGATAAACATATTTTTTTAAACATTTATTTTTTTAGGTGTAGATGGACACAACACAATGCCTTTATTTTTATGTGGTGCTGAGGATCGAACCCAGGTCCTGCCCATGCTAGGCGAGTGCTCCACCGCTGAGCCACAATCCCAGCCCCGATAAACATATTTTTGCAAGCAAAAAATACTCAGGGATGCTAATGACAGTTACAAGGGTATAAGAGCCAGAAGTAGAAAAATTGTGTTTGTAAGAACTAGGTCAAAAGGTGGAATGTATAAATGCACATCACTGTGATTGGTAATTGTGCTAACCTAATTTTAGGACTACAGTCATCTGAAATGCCCAAGTTTTTGGATAAGACTGATCAAAACCATCATGGGTCACTCTGCACATGCAGTTGCCCAAAGAGCCAACTTCTCAAGAAATTTTATCTTTCACAAATGCAGTTGTCCAATTATGGAGGAAGTACATACACAATGCATACACATGAAGCCTACACTGTGAATAATGTACTTTCATGTCAAAAAATTTCAAATTTGTGGGGCTGGGGTTGTGGCTCAGTGGTGGAGTGCTGGCCTGGCATGTGTGAGGCACTGGGTTCAATTCTCAGCACCACAAAAATGTAAAATAAAGATATGTGTCCACCTAAAACTAGAAAATAAATATTTTTTTAAAAAAGTTTCAAATTGTAAAAAGAAAAAAAAAAAATGAAATGAATCAGACCCTGAAAGCCTCTGCACAATTTATACCTCCATATTGGAAATGATGTGAAGATGAAATACATAGCATAGGGAAATGTAAAAAATAACATTTTAATAATTTAAAATAGTGGGAGCAGCTGGGTGTGGTAGAGCACACCTGTAATCCCAGAGGCTCAGAAGGCTGAGGCAGGAGGATCACAAGTTCAAAACCAGCCTCAGCAACTTAGCAAGGCTCTAAGCAACTTAGCGAGACCCTATCTCAAAATAAAAAATAAAAAAACCCTTTTTGTTGTGGCTCAGTGGTTAAGCAGCCCTGGGTTCAATCCTTGGTACCATAAATGAATGACTGAATAAATAAAAATTGTGGGGTTAAAAGAGAAAAACTAAAAAAGAAAAGAAACTAACCCTCTCCCCAAAAGAACTAAAAAGGAAAATTGACATGTGAAGAAGTGTGTGACTGGGCCAGATGATGGGCAGTTGCACAGAGATAGTGTGTGGCAGCTGTCTGACCTTCACAGTCATTAACCAGCTTTCGAAGCTTTGCCTCGCAGTGAATAGCTGCTTTGTTTTTCTTTAGGTTATGCCTCTCCTCAGAGAATATGTTTACATTCATTTCCTACACGCTACTCTTTTTGAAATTCTTCTGTGATTCAATTCATACTGACATGAGCATTCCCTATTAAATCTTCCCATTGTTTGGCAACGTGGAAATCCATTCTGCATGCACTCATGTACAGACGACAAATTCAGCGGAAATAATACCAGCAATCAAACAGCAGCGCTGTTGTCTAACTTGCCTTCTTATCCCACCATGTACATCATTATTTTTGAACCAGTGAGTAACATCACTGAATTCTCCAGGCAATTGTGATTTTAATTTATTAGAAGTTTCTGGAATTTCACCAGTAGAAGGAATATCAATGCAGACCAATGATGCATTTTTAAACTCAAGTTTTTGTCGTTGCTTTATTGCATGACCAATCCCTTCTCCAGAATTTGGCTTTCTGTCCTTTTTACATAGCTTCTTTTTCATGGGAATTGTGGTTTTCAAGATGTCAGCTTTCAGGATTTTTTTAAACAAATTTTTGTATTTGTTGATGGACAGCATGCCTTTATTTTATTTGTTTATTTTTATGTGGTCCTAAGGATGGAACCCAGTGCCTCACACATGATAGGCAAGCGCTCTGACGCTGAGCTACAACCCCAGCCCCAGCTTTCAGGATTTTAACATTTGGGATTTTAATCTTTCAGGATTGTTTTTTTTTTTTTTTTTTTTCAGGAGTGTCGACTTTAGGGATTTTGATTGTTTGAGATTTCAACATTTGGGATAATGACATTTGGGACTGTATGTACTTCTGGATTATGATCTACACCACTGCTTGCAATTCTTGGACAGAAAATACTGAGACTACAACATCTTGAGACAGGAGGAAATGTACAGAACTGGGCTGTGTCCTTGTTCCTCTCAGAACAGTATTCTCAGCAATGCTTGAGTCATCCATGTGACACTCAGGCATAACAGCAGAGTGGAGTGAGCATTCCCTATCACACTCTCAGGGTCCCTCAGTGGCAATGTATCAATGTGGGGGTATTTGTCCATGTGGCTACCTCCAGCCTGGGCCGCTTTCTACCTTGAGGAGTGGAAGTTATAGTTTGGATGTGGAATCCAGTACCCAGTCTCACATTGAAAGCATGGTCCCCAATGCAGTCAGGTTCAGAGGTGAGGCTTTCCAGAAGTGAGTGCTCTGATCTCATCAGTGAACTAACCCACAGGTAGCTGAATGGACTCCTGGGAGGTAGGACAAGTTGGAGGAAGTAGGTCACTAGGGTGGTGTGACCCCGAAGGGTCTATCTTTTTCCCAGACCCTTTTCTTTCTCTCTCTCTGCTCCCTGGCTGCATGGCCATTTTCCTTGGCCACACCCTTCTGCCTTGATGCTCTTTCTCACCTCTGGCCCACAGCGATGGCGTTGTCCAACCGTAGACTGAATCTCCAAAACTGTGAGCCCAAAATAAATTTTTCCTCCTCTGAGTTGCTCTTGTTAGGTCTTTAGGTCACAGCGATGAAAAACTAACACAGCTGGCTCACCCTGAATCCTGAGTTTCTGTTTATTCTTGCTGCCTCTCTGTGAGTGAGACCTCTGCTTTGCCTGATTTGTACAAGTGTTCTGCCCCACTGGACTAGACCTAAGAACTTTTGCAGATGCCAAAGAAGCAGAAAAATGGATTGATAAATGACTTTCTATAATATTTTGAAAAGTGACAGGTGTTAAATGATTTCATTTGTGAAATGAGCAATCCATATAAGGCCCAGTACAAATTTATTCATATATTTCAAACAAAAAAATGAAGACATCTGTCTTATTGAAGGAATGAAGTCATACTTCAAAACACTTCCTCTTTCTCACTTCAAGGCACAGTGATCCCGGTGTGTTAGCCCTCCATCACTGCATCGAGACACCTGAGAGAGTCGGCTTCTAAGGAGAGAGGCTTATGGAAGCTCCCAGTTTCAGAGGTTTTGGTCCAGGGTCACTTGGCCCTGCTGCCATGGGGCCTGCGGTGGCACAGGACATCCTGGTGGGGAGTGTGTGGCAGAAGAAGCCTATTCACTTCATGCCAGCCAGGAGGCAAAAGAGACAGGAGGGAGCAGAGTCCCCAAGTCCCCTGCAGGGACACATGCCCAGTGACTTAACTTCTTTCCACTAAGCCCCAACTCTCAGAGGCTCTACCACCTTCCAGTAGGACCCAGAATTTGACAAGTGGGCCCTGGGGGGTTGGTGCAGAGCCCATGTGCCTGTCACTGACCCAGGAGCAGCAAACACAGGCACATCATGTGGCCCAGGATGGACACTAGCCTGGACAGTGACCAGGGACCAGACTCCTCATGCTGACACTTTGCTCTAGTTGAATGAGAGCCTGCAGGACCATGCGTCTTGTCACAATGCCTAAGGTGGCAGCGGGTGTCTTCAGCTTTTCACCCCGTATTTCCCTTGGTCTCCTCCTGGACTAGGTGTTCTCTAGTTCCGCCATCTCTCCTGCCCCTGTTCCTCAAGTCTGAACTTCAAAAAGGCTCTGAGGGACTTACGCGGACGTGCAGGTGAGACTCCCCAGGGCTCCCCGCCCCCCCCCCCCGCCCCCAGGGGTATCTGTGCTTTAATAGGGACAGAGCCAGAGAGTGGATCTTCAGTCATACAAGGTCAGGAAATAAGAGACCAAAGGAGGAGATTTGGGGCCCTGGGTCTTCCTAATGTGTCATGATCTTGTCATGTAAGGCTAGTGGTCTTCCTTGCGCCCGACCCTAATACTGCCATCACAGATACAGCCACACATCCAAGTGCTCCTTTCTGCCACCTGCAAGGGTATTAAAAACCAAAAGGAAAAAAAAAAAGACAAGGCTACTGAGGCACCGAGGTGAGGTCACCTGCCCAAGGTGTACTCAGAGTGAGTGGCAGAGTGGGGGCCTTGAGCCCACAGCCTACACCTTTCTCCTTTTTTTTTCTTTTTGTGATGCTGGGGTTTGAACCCAGGGCCTTGTGCATGCAAGGCAAGCACTCTACCAACTGAGCTATATCCCCAGCTCCCATAGCCTATACCTTCACTGCTATGATATACAATGTCTCAAATGCTCTAGATTGTGATAGAATTTAATTTTAATAAAGATGTTTCTAAGGTTTGGATGTGGTTTGCACTCAAATGGCTTTCATGATGGAAGCTTGGTCCCCAGTGTGGTGACATGTGAGGAGGTGTCTCAGTTTTAGGTTGTGAATTTATTGAGGTATTCCCTCAGAAGGCAGTAAGATAGTTCTTCAGGGACTCTTGAGTTAGTTCTCATGAAAGTGAGTTATTGAAAGTGAGCCCGAGCCCCGAAAGGCTGTCCCATGTATTTCCACCATTGTGATGCCATCTTCCATGAGGTCCTCACCAGAGAGAGCTGGTGCCTTGCCTTTGAACTCCTAGAATTGGAAGTTAAATAACCCTCTTTTCTTTATAAAGTTAACTTGCCATGGGTATTTTGTTATAGTAACAGAAAATGAACTAATATAGATGAGTATGGCTAAAACTTTATGCTTTGTTGGTTAATTAAACTAGAAAACTTAAATGGATTTTATCCCTGCCTGATAGAAAGTACTTGCTAAAACATATGAAATTTATCATTTCTCCCTGAAGTTATGTAGTGATGTATCAAGAGCTAAGCATTTTTTAAAAAGGAGAAAGCAGTGACTGCAATCTAGAGGCATCTGCAAATGGGGCACTGGCAAGCGGTTCAGCTGGGGACATGTGTGCTCTGAGGTGTTCATGATGAGCAGCTGCTCTGAGACAAGCACACGTGCTCTGCTTGGCTCAGATTTCCCATTCTTGGGTCTGTTATCAGGAGACTCAAGGGCATATTTTCACTGGCTGCTGGCTGCTGATCAGTAAAATCAAGTGTAAGCATCTTGCTTCTGGGCTTATTCTTCATGCCTCTCCAAATCCTACCCGTATTTCACGGAGTAACCGAGACCGCAGGACCACGGCAGCCTCCCCAGCCCATCAGCACCATCTCTGCTCTCCCTTCCCTGTGCTCCCGGATGGAGCAGCCAGCTACCAGCATGTTTTACACCTCGTCTGTCTATCCTCCAGCGCAAGTTGGGATCTCTTTTAGGTGGTGGTATGGCTGGACATTGGCCTCATCTGCTCGTTTAAATTGCAAGCTCAAGGGCTGTGTGCTCTTCTGAAATCCCTCACAGCACCTTGCATATTTTTTGGAAAACACATTAGAGATTAAATGCAGAAAAAAAGAAAAAGAAAAAAAGAAAAAGAAAATCAGTACCGCTCAATAGTTTCCAGTCTGTCTTCTTCCGGTAAGTCCTCAAGAGGGGCAGGAGTGTTGATAGGAAGTATAACCGGATTGTAGGAGTCATAGCTGTAGAAGAAAAACACACACGCAGCCCAGGATAAATGATCACATTAGCAGTTTGGGGGTCTTTATGTGATTTCCTACAGCATCTCAATTTTACCCCTCGTGGGCCTTCTGCTCTTCTGCCCTCCCTCCCTCTGGAGCACCCCTCCCCCAATGCTTCTGGAAAAGACAGAGGCAGCTGAGAGGCCCTGGTCACACCCTGGAGAAGGCTGCCATCAGGTGTCTCCTGGAGTGTGAGGTCAGTCTCACAGAGGGGCTGGGGAGGGCTCAGTGGTGGAGCGCCTGCTTGGCGTGGGCAAGGCTCATTGAGAGAATTTCCTGGGTGGGGCAGGGAAGGGTAGGTAGAGGACCTACTTTTTGTTCTTGCCATTTTGCCCACCTTCATAGTCTTCCTTGGTCATTCTGTCCAATTTCAAACCTTCCTTACCACCCCATCACGTACTGTTTGGCATTATAACTGTAGGGGTTTATATAAAATTTCCTGAGTATTGAGGACATTAAAATAATTTTGAGATAGGGGGAGAAAATATGTCGTTATTTAAATGTTGGCAGCAGATTTCTGATTCAAGATGGTGGAATGAGTACTTGCTTTTTGGGTGGTCTCAAATTTTTCCTTAAAAACCTTTTAAATAATATTGAAGGAATAAAATCGGATCACACAACAGCAAAGAGAACAGGGGAAGGACAGGAGTGGATACACGTTTTTCAACAATTTTGGTGGAAGAAATTTCCAGAAGCCTGAAAGAGTTCTGTGTCATGAAAAAGAGCAAAGAGTGGTACGTGGACACACGTGGAAAGAAAGGGACCTCCTCCCAGCCTGGGAAAAGCTGCGGGCTGAAGGTCAGGCAGAGGAGCAGGAGCAGAAAACGGGTGAATCTGAGGCTCCTTTGTGAATGCACATGCCTTTGGGAGCAGACTCTCACCCTTGTTTTGCCCCTGTGTAAAAATGCAGGGGCTGGGGATAGAGCTCAGCTGGTAGAGTGCTTGCCTTGTATGCGCAAGGCCCTGGGTTCAATCCCCAGCACCAAAAAAAAAAAAAAAAATGTTATTTATGAGCTGGGGTTGTGGCTCAGCGGTAGAGCACTTGCCTAGTACATACGAGGATGTGGGCCACGTAAAAATAAATAAATAAATAAAGATACTGTGTCCAACTAGAGTATTAAAAAACTATCTAGTTATTAACTCTTGTGCCATGGGTGTCCTATTGAGGAATTTGGAGCCCGACCCCACCGACTGTAGATCGTAGCCAACTTTTTCTTCTATCAGACGGCGTGTCTCTGATTTGATATCAAGCTCCTTGATCCATTTTGAATTCACTTTTGTGCATGGTGAGAGAAAGGGATTCAGTTTCATTTTGTTGCATATGGATTTCCAGTTTTCCCAGCACCATTTGTTGAAGATGCTATCCTTCCTCCATTGCATGCTTTTAGCCCCTTTATCAAATATAAGATAGTTGTAGTTTTGTGGATTGGTTTCTGTGTCCTCTATTCTGTACCATTGGTCCACCCGCCTGTTTTGGTACCAGTACCATGCTGTTTTTGTTACTATTGCTCTGTAGTATAGTTTGAAGTCTGGTATCGCTATACCGCCTGATTCACACTTCCTGCTTAGAGTTTTTTTTCCTGTTCTGGGTCTTTTATTTTTCCATATGAATTTCATGATTGCTTTCTCTATTTCTACAAGAAATGCCATTGGGATTTTGATTGGCATTGCATTAAACCTATAGAGAACTTTTGGTAATATCGCCATTTTGATGATGTTAGTTCTGCCTATCCATGAACAGGGTATATTTTTCCATCTTCTAAGATCTTCTTCTATTTCTCTCTTTAGGGTTCTGTAGTTAAGTGTTGCTTAATATACATTAAATAAATCACATAAAACCAAAAAAAAAAAAATGCACCTGACTGTCAAGTAAGGAGAATGGCTGAAAAAACATTATGGTGCTGTGGTTTTTATAGAGGGAAGGTGGGAAAGGTATCTGTGAACTGATATGCTGTGGTTTCTAGGAGTGAAGAAAGCGAATGCAGAAGAGCCTACCTAAAGGGCCACAGTTCACATGAGAAGAGAAAATAAGAAAAATGCATACACTTGGAATGCTTAACACCACAAAGAGAAACAGGAAAGGGGAGGCAGAGGACCAAGTTGGTTCCCTCCCCTGGGCAGGGATGGGCTGGAGGGAGGAGGGAGGGAGGGACGCTTCCCAGGATGCCTTTTTGTGCAGTTTTGAGTTTGGAAGACACGGCGATGTTCTACTTATTGAAAACATAAAATCAAGTCAACGAGAAAGGAAAATTAAAAAAAAAACTGAAAGCAAACTGAAACAAGTAATTCATAATCACAACAGAGGGAAAGAAAGACAAAGAAAAGGGTGAGAGAGAGGAAGAGAGAGGGAGGGAGCAGAGTGGGGAAGGGAGGGAAAAGAGAAAGAAAGAACTGATACAGTATGGAAAGAAGAGGTGACTTCTCCAGTGTGTGACCACACCCACATACCCCCAGTCTTGGGTGGGATGAGGGTAGGGGAAGAACTGCCAATGAATCTGTGCTCTGTTTATTATGCTTGTTCATGAAGGTGTTCATGGATGAGTCAGTTCTGAAACTATTGGATATATTGTGAAGTTGAGTGAGTGAGTAAATGTGCCAGGGCAGGGTTTTCACAGTGAAAGAAAATGGAAAGCAAGTAATAATGCTTGGATATTGACTGGAATTGTAGGGTTTGGTGTGCATTCATGATTTCTAAAATGTGTGTATGTATGTGTATTTGTATGTAGGTGTGTCCTTGGGTGTATGTAAAGTATGTGTCTGTATACCTCTCCTCTGGCTTTGCACACGAGGCCAAGATACAAGCATACTCTAATAGCAATGTGCACAACTATCACTCAGATTTTTGTCTTTAATTTCATTCCCCTCTAAAAAGACCCTGGGCCCCACCACCTGAGATTAACCCTGTTTACTGACTTCATGACAAAGAATCCAGGTCCTCACTGAAAATTCCATCAAAACTTTTAAACACATGTGTAGTCAGAGGGGAGTCCTGCTGAGAAGAGGGACTGAAAAGAGGGAGCTGGACCACTTCGCAGAGACCAGATTGGTTTGGGGCAAGGTGATGACAACAACCAAGAGATTTTCATGAAACAAAATGAGTCCAATTTGTAAATTCTCCAATCATTATGTTCTTTTTTGGGGGGGTGGGGAGCTTCCAGGGATTGAACTCAGGGGTACTCGCCCACTGAGGCACATCCCCTGCCCTATTTTGCATTTGAAATGGTTGGATGTTCTCATTTGTTTTGTATTGTTTTACTTTAGTGTCCTTACTTTTTTTTTTTTTAAAGAGAGAGAGAGAGAGAGAATTTTAATATTTATTTTTTAGTTTTCGGTGGACACAACATCTTTGTTTGTATGTGGTGCTGAGGATCGAACCCGGACCGCACGCATGCCAGGGGAGCGCGCTACCGCTTGAGCCACATCCCCAACCCTAGTGTCCTTACTTGACAAAGTAAATCTCTGATAATGCTAACTCAGTTCCCAAAATTTTTCTGAACATTTCACTGCTCTATAAAATCTGCAAGTCTGGGACCTTCTGGATGAGAAAAATTCTTTGATTGCTGCTCACTTCTCAGAGTTTGAGGAAGTCCACAGAGACTTGACAGATTCTCTCTGAATTTACTAAAAAGTACAGAAATTTATGAGCTGCTCTGATTTATATGGATACAAAAATGACTTGGAATAAACAAATGTTAAGCAACTGTATTTAACAAGATGCAGATAAATCTCAGAGTCAAAAGATACAAGGAAAACCTCATACTACTAGAAGGTAATTTATTCAAGAAAAATGTCCGCAAAGTTGAAAACTCGTTAATAGATGTCTATGGAGTGTAGACTGAATGTTTGTGTCCTCCCCAAAATCATCTGCTGAAACCTAACTCCTCATGCGACGGTATTTTGAGATGGAGACTCTGGGAGGTGGTCAGGTCGTGAGAGTGCACCCCTCATAAATGGGATTAGTGCCCTTGGAAGAGAAGTCCAGGAGGGCTGCCCTGCTCCTCTGTTCCCGTGAGCACACAGCGAGAAAGCACCAACTACAAATGAGGAAACAAGCCCTCACCAGACATCATGTCTGCCAGTGCCAGATCCTCGACTTTCCAGGCTCCAGAACTGTGAGAAATAAATTTCTGTTGTTTACAACCTACCCAGCCTATGGTATTTTGTTATAGCCACCTGAATGGATTAAAACAGAACTTAAAAAAAAAAAAGGAATTACTATTACTGTTTTGAAACTACATTTAGAAATAAATCCAGTGGGAATCCATGATAAGGAAATATAGAATCTGCTCTTGATTTTGAACTGTTATTCAATTGCAGCTTATTTTAAAACAAACTGGCCCAACAGAGCATTTGGGCACAGAAGCTGAAAGTAACAAGTCATGGTGGAGAGTTTTCTTTAATTCATGTAGAATTCATGTTTAATTCATGCTTGCTCAAGTCCATGGCCACTGCACACTGACAGCCTCAGGATTTTTTCCAAGGACATTGCTTTGGAAATAATAATAAAAAAATTAGTAAGAAGAGGGATGTTTTCTCTTAATTCTCGGGACCTGTGTGTCTGAGCGTGGGTGGGAGTCAGGCAGTCCCCTTCCCATCACTCCTCATTTTGCTTATTCAGTCTCATGACAGAATCCCAGACAGAGCTCTGTTTGCCTTACTGATTACCGTGTGGGTTAATTTTATTTATTTCTTTATTTTGTGCTGCAGATTGAACCCAGGGCCTTAGCATGCTAGCCAAGTGCTCTACCACTGACTTACACCCATCCCCTCCCTCCTACAAGGGCCTATTTATTCATTTATTATTTTTCAGTACTAGGGACTGAACCCAGGGCACCAGCCCTTTTTATATTTTTATTTTGAGACAGGGTCTCACTAAGTTGCTTATGGCCTCAATAAGTTGCTGAGGCTGGTCTTGAACTTGAGAACCTTCTATCTCAGCATCCCAAATTACTGGGAGGACAGACTTGTGCCGCCCAGCCCCACAATGTGTATCATTTTAATGCGTCCTGGTCCCCCAGCAAAGTGTGTGTGCTGAGGTGTTGATGGCACCATCTGGTGGCCACAGAGTGATTGGACAATTTGGAAGGTAGAAGAGAAGGGTTACCAAAGTGCGCTGGGCAGCATGCTGGATCGCTTCATAGGATCATCAAGATCATTTTATTTCAGTCTTTGAAACAGCTCTGAGAGGACAAGACCAGCCTTTAATTTCCTCACTTGTCCCTGCCTCACAGGTGAGGAAATAAAGGGCGTCAGTGAAGAGGTGACTCACCCAGCTACAGAGAGCTAGTGACCTGGCCCACAAGTAACAGAGGCTGGTGGTCTCTCTGACACCAAGGCTTTCCTTCTTTCTACACGGCCACCGTTTCCCCTGATTCTAGAAGATCTAGATTTTTAAAAGTATGTTAAAATAAACAAGAAAGATGCTGGATTCATTTTGAGATGGCAACAGGTTGAATGAGGTGTGACAGGAAAGGAAGTGGCATGTTTGGGCTCCTGTCCTGAATCCAGTGCCCCAGGCTTTTTGTTTATCTTGTGAAATAAGGCAAATAGTGGAGAAGCCCCAGAGGAATAATCCAAAGCATAGCACATGGAGAAGCCCCCTGGAAGTTCAGCTGCATCAGCTGTAACTCAGGGAGACTCTGCTGCTGGCAATGAAGGAAGAGGTCAAATTAAGTCCTAGGGGTTCAACGATTCCAACAATCTTCTCCAATCCCTGGAGAGAGGCAGGTGGATGGACAGTGGACTTGGGTAGCTGCTTTTTTGGGTGAGCATTTGTCCATTTTCTGTTGCTAACAACAAAATACCACAGACTGGATAAGTCATGAAGAAAAAAGGATTATTTGGCTCACAGTTCTGGTCCAAGGTCGAGGGACTATATCTGGTAGTGGTCTTCTTGCTGGAAGAGTCCAGGGATGGGCCAGGCATCACATGGTGAGACAGGGAGTGCAGGCCTGTGTCCTCTGACCTCTGTCCCTCTTTTTATAAAACCCTCAGAATTCAATCATGAAGGCTTACCCCTTACCTAATCTTTTTTTGGGGACGGGATACTGGAGATTGGACTCAGGGGCACTTGACCACTGAGCTACATCCCCAGCCCTATTTTATTTTATTTAGAGACAGGGTCTTACAGAGTTGCTTAGGGCCTCACTTTTGCTGAGGCTGGCTTTGAACTCACCATCCTCCTGCTTCAGCCTCCTAAGCTGCTGGGATTACAGGCATGTGCCACCTCCCCTGCCCCTTATCTAATCTTAATTGCTTTCCAAAGGCTCCACCTCTAGGGGGAGGTTTCTAGCTTCTTAATACCTCACAATAAGGATTAAACTCCAACACGAGTTTTGGAGGAGACAAACCATGTTCAAATCATAGCAGTGAGCATTCTTAGTCCTACTAAAAATAGGATGTCAAGGTTGAGAAGGACCTGAGAAGGACCCTCACAAGTTCAGCCTCCTCTTTATCTTTCTGACAAGAGGTCGAGGCTCAGAAAGGTACCCAGAAGACATGTGAGGTCCCCCAGCTCCCAGAGGTCCTGTGGGGCTCTCCATATTTCTGAGTCAGAGGAGCTGGACATACTGGTAGGAGCACTGGTAGGAGCTGGATGGGGGGTTATAAAGAGCCTCTGTTGACCTTGGTCAGTGGCACCTCTCTGGTCATGGCAGGGGTTAGCTTTCCTGGATACTCTTGGGGCTTTGCCACCTTGGGTGGGCCTCCTTCTGAATCAGAAGATTTGAACAGAAGGTGACAGCTGATGATCATTGTGGGACACTAGGCACATTTGCTTACCAATAATTCATTTAGTTACATTTAGAAGGACAGTGAACTAAGACTCAAGTTCAAGGGCTCAGGAGTGAGCTGCTGACCAGATGGAGTCTAAAGAAAAGGTTTCGGTCTATTTGTTTGATGTCTTAGGATTTTGAAGAGATATTAAATAAGCAAATTGGCAGAAATTTGACTACCTTGATTTTCTTCTTTCATCGGCCAACAATATTCTCACCTACCAGTTCTGACTGTGTCCGAGCGCCAGGCTGTGTATGGAGCTGAGCTGTGTCTGTCTGAGGATAGTGTGGGACTCCCATGAGCACAGGCTGGGCAAGAAGTGAATTCTTTAGAATTGGATGTGGAGGGTGCGGAAGGTGATCTTGACCAGTTAAAAACTTTAAAAATTGACCATGAGTATTTTAGCAGAATTATCTAGATTGTTGGTCTTGCCAATGGGCCACCTAGGACATCACTTTTTAAAAAAGTGTGTCTCGGATAATTTCAAAATATGAAAATCAGTTACATGTGTTCATAGCTCTTGGATCAGTAAGCCCTCCCTCGTGCTTTAAAAGTACGACTTGACATATTGTTGGTATTTAACTTCTGGGGGTCTCAGCCTCTGTGGTCTGTGGCAGACATCTTCCCAGGAGACAGATGAGCTGTGGCTTACCTCTGGGTGGTCTCCATCTTAGAGGTTTCGGGCAAGGATGAGAGCGTCAGGGACTGGAACCTCTTCCAGTGCATGATTCCAGGAATAATGTCCTGCAATGAAAGTTGGCTCAGGGGTAGAGCATGGTAGGGAACTGGTTGGGGGGTGGAGTCTAGAAGGACTTCATTTCATTCAGCTATTTTCAGTCTGAAAAATTTTAGCTGCAAATTTATCATTTTGTTAAACATGACTGAATTTTGCCGAAGCAAAAAAGACAATTGCTTTTGTGACTGTAAAAGCGAAAGGGGCAACACAGAAGTGCACCTGCTCCTGCTTCCTTAGCCATACAAGCAACATGTCCTTGCGATGGGGGGCAGATGTGGCCTTACGATTGCCTTTGAGGATTATGGATGCAATACTAATGCCCCATTCAAAGAGGATGGGTCGTTTTCCAGATGGTAAGACAAACAGGGAAACTGTGTGTGCAAATGTGTTGGTGAAGTGCCAAGTGCTGTCAGGAGACCATCAGCTCAGCTGAGTGCAAGGCATGGGATGGGGAGGGGGCAAGGCACACCAGGAGAGGCCGGTGGTCACCATGGGCCTCGTGGGCCTAGCTAATGAGTGTGGAACTGCTCACACAGGTAATAGAACCCTCGTGTTCACGCAGGAACTGACATGATCAGATCTGTATCAAAAGATTTTTATGGAGGCCTGACCACAGCAGTGGTGAGCCATAGGGGAAGCTAGGGGGAGAGTGGCAGGTCATGTAAGAGGCAGGCTGGTTGGATAGGGGAATGAGCAAGAGGGAGGGATTAAGGACCCCCTGAATTCTGTGCACATTCCATAGAACAAAAAGGCAAGTGGGAAATGGGCATGATGGTGTTCTCCTATAATCCCAGACACTTGGAAGGCTGAGGCAGGAGGATCATAATTTGGAGGCCAGCCTTGGCAACCTAGTGAGACCCTATCTCAAAATAAAAAATGAAAAAGGACTGGGACGTAGCTCAGGGGTAAAGCTGCATGGGTTCAATCCCTGATTACTCCCCTCTATTCCCCCACCCCACACATGCAAGTGAGGGCTAGGCACTTCAGAGTGTGGTGGGTGGAAGTCAGAGATAATGACCCAAGTTAGGGATTTGTTGAGTTTGAGGGGCCTGAGGGTAATTACGAAGAGGTGTCTCTGGATATTCAGGTCAGGTTGGTCACTGCGGTAGAAGGAACTCTTTGGAGCCCCTTCTTTACTGTGCCTTGTCTGTCCTGATGTTTCTACACTTGTAGGGGCAAAAGCAAGAAGAGGTCAGACCATGGGCTTATGCCAACCATGTGACCATTTCACAAGGCTGAAATTCAAGTGAGTGAACATGCATGGCCTTTAAGGGGGAAACGTGAGGATGTTGAAAAAAGGGGGAAGCAGGTAACCCAAGAAGTGAGTATGGACGGGACCAGAGTGGGGCCGAGTCTCCGCCCGTGTCCCTTTAGGGCTGGCCGATGAGGGCCGTCGTTACCATTCTTGCTCTGCAGCTGTGGCTCTGAGCCTAATTTTTTCTAATTTCAGTGGTGTCCCTCCATCCTTGTGCCCTGCCCCTCCCCACAGCCCAAGGCCAGCTCTGCCAGGGAGCTGGGGGATGGCCTTACCGTGTGATGGAGAAACTGCTTTTGGGTGAGAGGAATGCTGGACCCCTTGTGGCACTCGTTGGTGAACATGTACTTGGGGTGGGGGCAGAGGTGGTAATCTATCAGCGTCTCTGCATAGGTCAGAGGGCGCTTGACGGCAAATAATCCTGGGTTGGGATTCTGCAGGAGAGAGAAAAAGAGCTTTTGTTTATCTGTTCCCAAGCCAGGCACAGGACAGGCGTCTGCCCATGCTCTTGGAGGCTCCTGCTAGCACTAACACTCCCGGTCCCAGGTCAGCTCGGCTGGAGAGCAGAAGTGGGAGAGCACGTGCCTTCAAGTTGGCGGCATTTTAAAATATCACACCATCCATAAATGCCACTTCTCTGGTTTAAGAGCTTCACTGCATACCACTGGGACTTACCAACCTCACATGGAAACAAGTCTAATTGAAATCACAGCTTAAAATGGCTTAAAGTATTTGTTTCGAACTATGATGAATTAGGGGGAATTATTAAATAAGCAAAGTGGTTTTAAAAAGTAAAAAAAAAGCTTCTTGTTCTGAAAACAAAAATAGCCTCTTAGAAATAACTTTAAAGAGAAGACAAAGAAGAGGGTGACATTTGATCTACCAGGAAATGTCAATATTTAACATTGTTTTTGGTAGTATTTTTGATTCAGGAAGGCTTCATTGGGATACAGTATCTGGTTTTAAGGGAGAATCTTATTATTATTTTTTTTAAATAACTTTGTTTGTTTGTTAATTAATTTATTTTTTATGTGGTGTTGAGGATTGAACCCAGTGCCTCACACATGAGAGGCACGTGCTCTACCACTGAGCCACAACCCCAGCCCACTTGTTTTGTTTTGCTACTTTTTTTTTTTAAGCAGACCTAATGGATGCACAGAGCAATTCTATCAAAATACTAAAATACAGAGCCTTTCAATGTTCTTTCCAGAGCTTGAGCAGTAGATCCTCTGTCCTTGTTCCAAACAACAACATAGCTTCCCCCTCACAGTTGCTTCATCTCAGATGTTTAAGAACTACTGAGATTTTGTTCATTTTATTTGTATGATATTTTTTTAACAATGAAAAAAATACAGGGCAGAGCGGGGAGCTCAGTCGTAGAGCACTTGCCCAGTGTGTGCGAGGCCCTGGGTTCCATCACAAAACAAACAAGGAATAACCCCCCAAAACAAAACCAAACCCAACCCATGATTCCACTTGATGTATGGAAATTTGATCTCAGTGTCAAGAACCGGATGTCCCTCCACAACTTAAATGGCATGTAGCTAGACTGGGAGGCACTCTAATTCCCAGATGCAAGGCAGGGGAAGGCCCAGGTGTAGTGTGCTGGTGAGGGAACAACACTGCAAAAACTGTGGGCTGTGGATGCAGAGAGGCTGGCCTGCAGCCTGGAGGCAAGATGCAGAGAGGGCTCTCTGCTAAATGTCTGGTTGCAAAGGTCAGGGAGGCGGGAGGTGGGGAAGCCCACAGAGGGTGCCTGCAATGCCCACATAATGTGGAAATAAGCACACGCCTCTGTGAGCACCTGAAGTTGAGGCAAAATTTAGGATACAAACGTAAGTGTGCAAAGGGGCACAACACCAGAGGGGAAATTACCTCTGGGCCTTCAAGGGTGTCTCTGCTGTGGTTAATGGAGGGCATGAGAAGCTGTACGTGGCCAGAACTCTTAGTCTGTCTTGGGCCAAGTGTGATGAATGTGGTCTTCTTGCAAATGGCAACAGCACTGTCTCCAAGAGTCATCAAATTTCAGATTCCCCTGGATGGCCTTGGTTACTGGAGTTAGGTGATCTGAGCAGTCATCCCGTGATGATTTTAATTGTCCTCAAGGTTATGTGTGCATATGGTAGCGTCTCACCAGGCTGCAAGGATTTGCAACCATAAGCTGTGGATTCCTGGGTCCCTTCCTGTCCTTAAGCCCCCACCCCAGAGGCTACTTCTTTATTTCTGGGTTTTGTGCCTCTCATGGTCACAACTTTCACTCTAAACATTATACTTATTCTTCCATTTCTTTTTTAAAAAATTTTCTTAGTTGTATATGGACACAATGCCTTTATTTATTTTATGTGGTGCTGAGGATGGAACCCAGTGCCTCACACATTATAGGCAAACGCTCGACCATGGAGCTACAACCACAGCCTATTACTCTTCCATTTCTTTTTTTTTTTTTTTTTTTTATTTTAATTTTTTATTGTGGGTTGTTCAAAACATTACAAATTTCTTGACATATCATATTCCACACTTTGATTCTAGTGGGTTATGAACTCCCACCTTCACCCCATACACAGATTGCAGATTCACATCAGTTACACATCCATTGATTTACAAATTGCCATACTAGTGTCTGTTGTGCTCCGCTGCCTTTCCCATCATCCACCCTCCCCCCTCCCCACCTCTCCCCTCCCCTCCCCTCCTCTCTCTCTACCCCCTCCACTGTATAACCCTGAGGGTCTCCTTCCATTACCGTGCAATTTACCTTCTCTCTCCCTTTCCCTCCCACCTCTCATCCCTGTTAAATGTTAATCTTCTTCTCCTGTTCTTCGTCCCTACTCTGTTCTTAGTTACTTTCCTTATATCAAAGAAGACATTTGGCATTTGTTTTTTAGGGATTGGCTAGCTTCATTTAGCATAATCTGCTCTAATGCCATCCATTTCCCTGTAAATTCTATGATTTTGTCATTTTTTAATGCAGAGTAATACTCCATTGTGTATAAATGCCACATTTTTTTTATCCATTCGTCTATTGAAGGGCATCTAGGTTGGTTCCACAGTCTTGCTATTGTGAACTGTGCTGCTATGAACATCGATGTAGCAGTGTCCCTGTAGCATGCTCTTTTTAGGTCTTTAGGGAATAGACCAAGAAGGGGAATAGCTGGGTCAAATGGTGGCTCCATTCCCAGCTTTCCAAGAAATCTCCATACTGCTTTCCAAATTGGCTGCACCAATCTGCAGTCCCACCAGCAATGTACAAGTGTACCCTTTTCCCCACATCCTCGCCAGCACTTGTTGTTGTTTGACTTCCTAATGGCTGCCAATCTTACTGGAGTGAGATGGTATCTTAGGGTGGTTTTGATTTGCATTTCTCTGACAGCTAGAGATGTTGAGCATTTTTTCATGTACTTGTTGATTGACTGTATGTCCTCCTCTGTGAAGTGTCTGTTCAGGTCCTTGGCCCATTTGTTGATTGGGTTGTTTGTTCTCTTATTGTCTAATTTTTTGAGTTCTTTGTATACTCTGGATATTAGGGCTCTATCTGAAGTGTGAGGAGTAAAGATTTGTTCCCAGGATGTAGGCTCCCTATTTACCTCTCTTATTGTTTCTTTTGCTGAGAAAAAACTTCTTAGTTTGAGTAAGTCCCATTTGTTGATTCTAGTTATTAACTTTTGTGCTATGGGTGTCCTATTGAGGAATTTGGAGCCCGACCCCACCGACTGTAGATCGTAGCCAACTTTTTCTTCTATCAGACGGCGCGTCTCTGATTTGATATCAAGTTCCTTGATCCATTTTGAATTCACTTTTGTGCATGGCGAGAGAAAGGGATTCAGTTTCATTTTGTTGCATATGGATTTCCAGTTTTCCCAGCACCATTTGTTGAAGATGCTATCCTTCCTCCATTGCATGCTTTTAGCCCCTTTATCAAATATAAGATAGTTGTAGTTTTGTGGATTGGTTTCTGTGTCCTCTATTCTGTACCATTGGTCCACACGCCTGTTTTGGTACCAGTACCATGCTGTTTTTGTTACTATTGCTCTGTAGTATAGTTTGAAGTCTGGTATCGCTATACCGCCTGATTCACACTTCTTGCTTAGCATTGTTTTTGCTATTCTGGGTCTTTTATTTTTCCATATGAATTTCATGATTGCTTTCTCTATTTCTACAAGAAATGCCATTGGGATTTTGATTGGCATTGCATTAAACCTATAGAGAACTTTTGGTAATATCGCCATTTTGATGATGTTAGTTCTGCCTATCCATGAACAGGGTATATTTTTCCATCTTCTAAGATCTTCTTCTATTTCTCTCTTTAGGGTTCTGTAGTTTTCATTGTATAAGTCTTTCACCTCTTTTGTTAGGTTGATTCCCAAGTATTTTATTTTTTTTGAAGATATTTTGAATGGAGTGGTTGTCCTCATTTCCATTTCAGAGGATTTGTCGCTGATATACAGGAATGCCTTTGATTTATGCGTGTTGATTTTAAATCCTGCCACTTTGCTGAATTCATTTATTAGCTCTAATAGTTTCTTTGTAGAGCCTTTTGGGTCTGCTAGATATAGAATCATATCATCTGCAAATAGTGATAATTTAATTTCTTCTTTTCCTATTTTTATGCCTTTAATTTCTTTCGTCTGTCTAATTGCTCTGGCCAGTGTTTCGAGAACTATGTTGAAGAGAAGTGGAGAGAGAGGGCATCCCTGTCTTGTTCCAGATTTTAGAGGGAATGCCTTCAGTTTTTCTCCATTCAGAATAATGCTAGCCTGAGGCTTAGCATAGATTGCTTTTACAATATTGAGGTATGTTCCTGTTATCCCTAGTTTTTCTAGAGTTTTGAACATAAAGGGATGCTGTACTTTGTCAAATGCTTTTTCCGCATCTATCGAGATGATCATATGGTTCTTATTTTTAAGTCTATTGATGTGGTGAATAACATTTATTGATTTCCGTATATTGAACCAGCCTTGCATCCCAGGGATGAATCCTACTTGATCATGGTGTACAATTTTTTTTATATGTTTTTGTATCCGATTCGCCAGAATTTTATTGAGGATTTTTGCATCTAGGTTCATTAGAGATATTGGTCTGTAGTTTTCTTTCTTTGAAGTGTCTTTGTCTGGTTTAGGTATCAGGGTGATGTTGGCCTCATAGAATGAATTTGGAAGTTCTCCCTCCTTTTCTATTTCCTGAAGTAGCTTGAAAAGTATTGGTATTAGTTCTTCTTTAAAGGTTTTGTAAAATTCTGCTGTATACCCATCGGGACCTGGGCTTTTCTTAGTTGGTAGTCTTTTATGGTTTCTTCTATCTCCTCAATTGATATTGGTCTGTTTAGGTTTTCTATATCCTCCTGACTCAATCTGGGCAGATCATATGACTTAAGAAATTTATCTATGCCTTCACTATCTTCTAATTTATTGGAGTATAAGGATTCAAAATAGTTTTTGAT